ATAAGGAATAGATAGAACTATGTTGCTTAAACTACACACACACACACACACACACACACACACACACACACACACGGATGAACCTTAAAAATATTAAGCCAAGTAAAAGAAAATACAGTGGTCCCTCACTCACGGAGGTTACGTTCCAGACACCCCCGCAATAAGCGAAAATCAATGAAGTAGCAATGCTGTATTAATTTATATTTTAGGGCTTTATAAACCCCACACTTTTATAAGCCTTTCCCACCTTTTAAAAACACTTCCAATGTTCTCAATTATTTTCTTTTTTTAATGTATTTAGTACAGGGTCTATAGGGTCTCACTACATAGATCTGACTTGTAGTGATCCTTCCTGTTCTTCAGCCTCCTAAGCGCTGGGAGTATAGGGGTGCGCCACTGCGCCTGCCTAAGCAGGCACTTTAATCCGCTGAGCTATCTGGCCGGCCCTTAACCATTTTCTGTACTTGTAAACCTATGTAATTTTTAACATACGCATACTATACAGTATTGCAAAATCCCACAATACAGTGAAAAATCCACGATAAATAATTTAGATTACTATTTTTTGAAAACCCATGAAACAGTGAGTATGCGAAAGTTGAACTGTGAAACGGCGAGGGGCAAACGTATCTACCAAAGGCCTCACACTAAACAGATGGATCCATGATAAGTGATGAGAGTCACTGTCTACAGGAGGGAGAAAACTGAAAAATGAATTAAAGTCAGGCTTGGAAGTATAGGAGATACACATAATTGAGACAGGAGTCAAATTTATTTCTCAATGGAAAGAGTATGGAAAAAATCTCTATGCACAGTCATTATAACCAAATATCACAACATGGTAAAGTCTTAGGGCCAGCCAAATAGCTCAGCGGATTAAAGGGCCTGGAAGCAGGTGCAGGGGCCCGACTGTGCCAGTCCCATCCCCAACTGAGACTGGGCATGGTGGCGCATGTCTGTAATCCCAGCTCTTGGGAGGCTGTAAACAGGAGGGTTACTACAAGTCTGATCTAGTAGTGAGACCCTGAACACCCTATAGACCCTTCCCTAAAAAAAAAAAAGTAAAGTCTTAAAATAAAAATAGTGTGCCAGAGGTACAGATAAACCTGTACAATAGAACTGAAAGCCCAGAAAGAAGCGCACATTCACAGGTAGATATAAGGGATTACCTCACATCAGGAGGCATGGATGTACTCCTTCAAAAGTAGTTCAGGTCAGCAGGGTAGCCATATACAGATACTCCTCATTTACTGCCTTCCTGTCTGACAGTGGTTCCTAGTAATGCCCAAGGCGCCCTGCTCGATTCCCTGGCTGCTGCTGCTCACACTGACAACCTACACTCAGACGCGGTGTGGGAATGTGAGCGGCCGTGCTGCCTTGTCGCTACTTCACTGTACAATACAGTACTGCAGTTTTCTATTCTGCTATCCACTCCAGCTCTGCATGTAAATGTTATGCAAACAGAAGCCAAGTCATCAAGCTGGAGCCTCCTTTGACCATTTCTTTGCTCTGAATATTGTGACATGCGTAACCCACATAGTCCCTCATATAGTGACCAATTCTTTTAAGGACCCAGGCATAGGACCTGAACTGGGTAGTGAAATGAGGCACATCTGACTCACCTAGAAATAAGTTGCAATAATGAAGGTGTATCACGTGCCTTGTTCTGTCTCTGCCCGCCCCCATTTAACTGTTGTGGTAGGTAAAGCTGTTGCCTTTAGTGGTTATAAATATTCAGTGATGGAGGACTGGCGAGATAGTTCAGCAGACTAAGGGTCTGCTTAGGAAAGTGCAGGGCCTGGGGTTGGATCCTGGTACCACATGCTGCGTAGGCCTGTGCCAAATACATTTTTAAAAAAAGATAAATGATGAGTGTCTGCTACATTTTACTCATTCTTCTAGTAATAAAGGCTTTGGTTGTTTTATTCTAATTTACCCAGAAAAAAATTAGTGTTAATAGTATTATACAAACGTAAAAATTTATTTCAAATACACATTGTAGGCATACAGGATGCACCAGTTCCCTAGACTGGCATTACCAGTTTATATTCTATCAGCATTTCCTGTAGGTTCCTGTTCCCTATGTTTGTTTTATACTGTTTTGTAACAAATTGCTACACATTTAGTGGCTTAAAACAACACTGACTTACTGGTTCACTCTCTTCTAGGTCAGAGGTCCACAGGACATGGCTAGGATCTCCCCTTATGAGGCTTCCCGAAGAGCTCAGCTGGCTGCCTTCTCAGCTACAGCCTCAAGCTCTCCAGACTCTCCCTCACTACCAGAACTCCAGGGATTTGGAGTTGCAGGCCTGAGCCAGTCTTCTCAGTGGATGCAGGGCAGACTGCACTCAGCTCGCAGACGCTTCTCACAGGACCTTTTCATGTGCTCTTCTCCAGCTGCAAGCAGCAAAGTCATGTAGTATCATCTTGCAAAATTCTACCTGGTGTATCCAGCAGCAGGAAACTATACTGTTAAAGGGCTCCTGGTGGTTCCATCAGTATCCACACGGATAATCTTTGTATCCTGAGTTCATGTAAGTACAAGATTACCCTAAGTTTCTTAATCTTTTAGGTTTACCAAGAAGTTCTGACTCTTAGACTCCAGAAAATACTAACTGCTGCTCATTTTAATGGCCGAGGATAGGCGTGTATGAGCCACATGAGCCATAGAAAATGACTCACAAGTCTGCTGCTCAAACATACCGAACAGCAACAGCCAGTCCAGACTACTACATACCTCACAGAATGCCCCAAATTCAGAACGCTGACTGCCAAGTGCTGGCAAGATGCGCAGTGGCAGGAGTTTTCACTGACTGTTGGTGGGAATGCAAACTGGTACAGTCACTGTGTAATACATTTAGCCGTTTCGTAACAAAACTACATATATTTTTCCCATGTGAATCTGGTTATGCGCTTTGGTATTCACCTAAAGGTGCTGAAACTGACGTGTACACAGCACATGGATATTTACAGCAGTATTATCCATAATTGCACAAACTTGGAAGAAACCAAGAAGTCCTAGGAACTAGGAAGAACAGTCCAGGCACAAGGAACAGCCAGCAGAGAGGCATATAAGCAGGTTCTGCAGTTTGCGGGGATCAGGTACAAGAGTGTTATAAGATGACATTAGAGAAGAAGGCAGGAGTTATACAACTGCACGGCTTTTACAGATTCACAATAAAGAGACTGAATTTTATTCTAAGAAAACAAACCAACTATTGAAATGTTTTAAACAGAATTGTAACATGATGTTTACGAAGCTATTCTAGAGTCTAAATGGAAACAAAATGACATGGGAAAAAGAATACAAGTGGGGAGACCAATCAGAGGCAAGAAAACAGCACTGTGAACTAGATGGGTAATACTGGAAAGAGAGAAGTAGAGAGAAAGGATTTTCTGAAGCTAACTGATAAAACTGGGTTTGGGGAGATAGGAAGGAAAAGCAAGGACTGTCATACTTCTAGTTTTGTTTTTTTTTTAAACTTAAGCAAACAGATGGACAGCAGCAATTTTTACTGAGATGGAAAAAAACTAAGAGGAACAGGCTCTAGAGAGAAGAAATCAAGAGTTTTATTTAATATGTATTATTTTTGAGTTTGTACAAGACTTTAAAGGAAAAAGTCAGGCAAGCAGGTGCTTGTACAAACGTGGAGCTCTTAGAGAAAGGCTGCGGCTAAAGAGAAAAGCGTTGATAGCGATCATTATGGAGCTGGCACAGACAGCCTTGGAACTAGATGTAAGTCACCAGGAGAAGGGGTGTAGACTAGTGCTTCTCACTGATGATAATACTACCTAAAAATATCTTAGGAATTTTTATTTAGTGGGCACACGTCAGATATCCTGCCATGCACTCAAGCTCCAGGACAACGAAGGCTTTTCCTGTGACCTTCATACAGGTGATCAGTGTTTGAACCCAGCAACACACACCCACACTGTACGCTCACACACAACGTTCTGGCTGCACCCAAGACTTCACACACGCTAGGCAAGGGCTGCACCAGTGAGCTACCTCCCTCCCCTTGCTTATAATTTTTCTCATTTTGAAACAAGGTCTCATCAAGTTGGCCAAGCTGGTCTTGAACTAATGATTCTTCCGCCTCAAGCTTCTAAGTAGCTGAGGTAACAGGTATATGTCACTACGCTTGGTTCCAACAAAGTAGATTTGAGCAACCTGACAAAGTCACTACTTTTATCTATTTTACACATTGCATTTTGGTACAAGATTTTGCTTGCACAAGACTTCTGGGCAAGCCATTTGAGACCAATATAAAAATTTATCAAAGTCTCTCCTATCCCAAAATATGACTCAATTCACTTTTCTCTAATCACACAACATTTATTAGAGCAACACAATTTAGCTCTGCCTTTATCTATCACATCACAGAAAAACTTTGCTAGGACATTTTACCATTAGAAGATGGAAAATAGCAGAACCAAAAAAAGAAAAACCAAAACCAGCCAGCAACTTTAAAATGTGTATAGCATAGTGCAAGACAATATTAAACAAATATTTTCAATTGTCTTTGTTATCCATTCTTACAGCAGAACAAACATAGATGAGTTGTTTCACGATCTTAATGGAATAAAGCAGAAAAACTCACGCAAATCTGCCTGTATCTCCACCCAAGGAGACAGCACGTAGCAGGAGCTGATGGAGGAAAGGAACACAACGACCAGTGGAAAATTTCCTGGCCTTCAATGATCACCCAAGCATTCACTCTACTTCATCTCTTTTGCTCTCACTGCCTTCTAGTTTATCTCCTCCCCACCACTTCTCCCCCAGTTCTATTTATTCATGATTTCAGAGAAAAAGTTGAGAGCAGAATGCATAAATCAGAACCTCGCCACAGAAACCTAAAGATCTAAAATCAAGACAGCATGCCACTGTCTTATTTATACCAATCTGCAGTTTCCTTCAAAGATCACCAGGGAAAGGATGCTGTTCCTGTGCATGTGCCTCACAGGATCAGCGAACATGCTACTGGCTTTCTCTTCTTTTTTGGGGGAAAGAGTGAACACAGCCCACCATTACCACAAGTTATGCAGCCGAGTTCCCACATTCGGGGAAATCTCAGGGTTCAGCATATCCGGATCCGGAGAGCAAGTGACAAGCCTCACCTGGGAAAATCACCTTCGTGATCACAGTATCTACCCTGCCAGGTAAGTATAGTATTTTCTTTCCTTATTCAAATTAAGGGATCATATGGAAGCCAAACCTTTCATGATACAAACAGTAAAAAATCAAAGAAGCTTTGAGTTAAAAGTGAAATGAGGAGACTTTAACTTGTCTTTTTGTGTAAAAGAAGAACCTAAAGCCTAAAATGGTAAGCACTAAGTGTCCAAGCGCATCTTACAGACAGCTAGTTCGTGGCAAGATCGGGAGCAGAACGCAGGTCTCTCAGCTTATGGCACAATCACCTTCCAGGCTGCTCTTATTTTTCCTGTAGACTTGACATGAAGTGATAGCAAAATCCTTTATTGCTTGGTGCAGGAGGACTGCAGAAGAGAAGCAAGGTCCCTCGGAGGAGGCAGGGAGACAAAGAATTTACTGGCTGGGCTGGGTGTGGAGTCTGCATGGGCAGTGGGGCGCCCTACCAGGGCTGATGGGGGAAGGTCTGGTCCCTGCATGCATGCAAAACACAAGAGGAAGCTGAGATTAAGCAGGGGGTGAAGAAAGCAGTCAGTCTCAGTGCGGCTCATCATTGGTTCTGGGATACCCATGTGTATATATTCGAAAACATGGAGTTTGGATCACACACACAAAAAAACACAGGAACTAAATCTGTCCTACAATCTCCGAAGATTTGGATTTGGCAGCATTGAGTTCCCCCCCATCCTGCCCTGCCTCAAGCTGGGCTGCCATCACTGCTACGAGACCTGCTCTGGCCTGCTGTCAGACTGCATCTCCTATGCAAGAGCTAGAGCCAAAGGCAACAGACTCCACACACAGTCTCCTACTGCTGGCTATGTGAGTTGTAGGATTTCCTGGTTATTAACAAGCCTTATGAAGGCCATTCACTGATCTAATAATTTCCGATAAGCCCAGTTTATGTTCCTGAACTTTCCAACTGCTACAAATGTGTATCTTGGGAGTACACTGAACTTCTAGAACAAAAATAATCTTTCTTAAAATAGGGGTCCATTTACATTCCAGAACAGCCACTAAGCAGAACACCCCCTCTCAGCCCTGAGAAAGGTTCCATTCTGGCAACTATCGGATCAGCAGGAAGGGAGGCTGTTAGCTCAGACTGCTTGTAAACAGTCTGCCTTCCCACTGAGCAGGCTGCGAGGGGCGGAGAACAAGCAAAGCAAGAGGCTTGGAGTCTAGAAGCAGAGCACAAGGCTGGGCAGAACAAAGGGCGAACAAATAACGCTGCCGTTTTCCTTACAGGAGAAAAACAATGTCAAGTTGAAAACAACAAACTTGTTCCCAACATGAAGGATAAAAGGCACCAAACACAAACAGAGAAATATTAAGTCTGGCCATCAGATGGGGACAAGAGCAATGGAAAGGACAGTGTCCTAATTGCCAGCCTTTCCCTTGAGGAGGCAAATCTACTACTCTCCATAAGTTCCCAAGTCATTTATCTCACCCAAAAACTTCATTATCACTAAACATGTAAGGGCTCAGTGAATATTTACAGAACAAAGGGACACTAAGCATTCTGAATCCTTCTATCGAATTTCTTTCTATGAAAGCTAGTTCCTTACTTTCCAACCTTCTCAAAATATAACATTTCATTCATCTCAATCAACAGTTGCTAAAAGAACGCATTTTTTGGCAGCTGTTACACAGACAAAAGCAAGTTGCCCACGCACAGCCCGCCAGGGTCTGGCTGCCCCCGCTGAGGTACTCCAGGGTACACCACTATGAGGAATACTGACACAGGTGCTCACCACTCTGGTGCTGTCCAAGAAATACTCCAGTAACTTGCGCTGGGGGGGGTGATTAAAGTACCTCCTGCAGTGGATGGACTATGTCTTACAAGAAACATATTCACAAACATCTCATTTTTAATAAAATTCCAGGTCTCCAAACAATAAACTGGCACCAGTCTCAAAAAATATAAACTCAAAGGCTTGTGTTTATGAAAGTGACATTTTATTTATGGCTACTTAATTGAATTCCTGTGCCCAAAATAGCAACATGAAAATTCAATTTCATAAAAGGAGAATCTATTTTTCTACTTTAATTAGTAATGGAAACAATAATTCAGAGGGAGGGAAAAAAGAATTTTCTCACATTAGAAGTTCAACACTTTCTAACAGATTAACTTAGCCCACAGCATAACTACTTCTGGGAAAATGTAGGACAGGAACGTAGATAATGAAAAGGAAAGCAGTGTTTATTACTGAGATGCATAAACTACTGTCTGCATATCAGGATCCAAGCACACTTCAGGATCACCTAACTGCTCCACATCACTATCTGCCCACCTAGCACTAGGCTTTTCTCTGGCTTCTCCTCTGCTGAACTTCCCTACGTTACCTTCCATACAGCAGTCAGAATGTTATTCCTAAAATATAATGACTTAGGTCATTTCTTTGCTTACACAATTGGATATGGCTTGGGAGTGTCTCCCAAGGTTCCAAGTATTGAAATTTAATTCCCATTGTGAGGTATTTTACTGGTCTTGTTATTGTTGAGACAGGATGGCCTCAAACTGGAAGGATCCTCCAGCCTCAGCTTCCCCGTGTTGGGATTACAGGTGTCCACCACCATGCCCAGCCTAAATTGTGAGGTATCAGGAGGAAGGAAATTAATCTCACTGTGGTGCTTGGAGGTGGGGTCTTTGAGAGGTGATCAGCACTAGATAAATTCATTAGGGTGGAGTCCTTTGCAGAATCCTACTGGCTTTATCAGAGGAAGTAGAGACCAGAAGATGCATACGCGTGCACGCCTGCTCCGTCTTACTGAGTCAGGATGTTTAGACCCACCTTGAGACTCCACCAAGGAAACCAGGCCACAAAGGCCATCAAGAGATGCAGCCCTTCAATCCCACCCCTCCAGAAACAGTCAAAACAAATCTCTATAATTTACCCAGTCAATGGTATTGTCATTAGCAACGGAAAGTGAACTAAATCAGTTTAGAAATCTTTGAAGATTCCCATGTCACTTGGAGTTAAAGTGCTTTATCTGAAGGTCTAGTAGAAATATTTTTCACTACCACAATTATGGAGAAATACTTGAATTCAGTGGGTATCACCTGAATTTCAAACATCCCACATTCATGCTAGTGAATTACACATATTTCATTCTTTTTTAAAATGCATTTGGTACAGGATCTCACTATGCAGCTGGATTCATAGGGATCCTCTTGTCTCAGCCTCCCCAGCGCTGGGATTACAAGTGTGCACCACCACGCCCGGTCTCAGTGGCCGACTCAGCATGTGGTGCCAGGGATCTAAACCAGGTGCCTGTGCTTGCCTCAGCAGGCACTTAGCCAGCTGAGCTATCTCGCCAGCCCTGAATTTCATTCTTTTAGTATCATCTGAATGGTCTATAATACATTCTCTATGTAAGTCAAGGGAAAGCTCTACAATATCTGCTGTAGAACTCTACCAAGAATTATTTACCCTTTCACCAAGTATTACCAACTGCAAACTTCATAATTGTGAGTCATCAATACAATTTATAACAGTCAAAGCCAGCAACTCTCTATAATTCTATACGAAGACTGTAAATCTAAATCATCGACATCTACTAATTAAATTACTTTTTATATTATTAAGTACAGCAGTAGTTTTTTTTTATCAAGGGTAAAAAATATTTTATATGATTTGTATTTCATTTGGGGAGAGAAAAATTATTACCTATGTTATTTTTAAAAAAGTGTACCTCACAAAACTGAACATCACTGTCATATACAATCTATCCCTACTCTCAACTTCCTGGCCAGACAGTCACTCAATGGCAGGGACGTGTTCTGAGAAATGCATCCTTAAGCAATTTTGTTGTTGTGTCAATATCACAGATCATACTTCTATAAACCCAGATAAAGTGCCTTTTCCTTTTTCTTTGTTTCTTTTTTGCACCAGGGTCTCATTAAGTTGGCAGTCTCCAATTCCTAGGCTCCAAAGATCTTTGTGGAGTGATAGGCATGTGTCACCATTTACCTCCTGATGCAAACAAGAAACATTTTAGTGCTGAGTGTAGTGGCACACACCTGTAATCCCAGCACTTGGGAGGCAGAAGGATCACTGCCAGTCCAGTTCAAGACCAGCCTGGGTTACAAAGTGAGCTCAAGGCCAGCCTGAACTGCACAGTGAAACCTTGTCTCAAAAAGACAAAAGAGAAAAAAAAAAAAAAAAGAAAAGAAAAGAAAAGAAGACTTCAAATGTGAGCTGTATGAAGCTGCTGCCAATGGAACATGGCACATACCTTACAGCAAATTTGTATTTGTGGGCCAGGGAGATGGCTCAGGAAGAATAAGCGCTTGCCTGGCAAGCACAAGGGCCTGAGTTCAATCCCAGTTCTTCCACCAACAAACAAACAAACAAAAAAACCTTGTATTTGTGAGTAGGAGGAGTAAAATAATGATAAAACATAAATACAGAAACCAGTGTGCTGGTTAACTTTAACTGTTAGCTTCACTCTAAGACTCCTGGAGAGGAGACTGGATCACGGGGCCCTGCACTCATTGCTGATGTCCACAGGTCACGGTGCCACTTGGAGGGGGAACCTAGATGCAGGAGGCCGCTGTGGGAGTGCCTCTGGGGCTACGCAGCCCTCTCGGGCTCCTTTCTGTTCTGCTTCCGGCTGCTGTGAAGTCAGCAGCTTCGTTCTACAATGGGGTTGCTGCTTTGGATTTGGTCAATAACAGACAGAGCCCTCTGAATTCAGGGGCCAAAGCAAAACTGTTCATTTAACTTGTAGGAGCTGGGTACTTTGTCCCAGCAATGGGATGGCTAATACACCCAGTAATAGTGACTTACTACTACACTAGCAAGTGTTATGTATTGTACACAGTTGTACGTGCTGTACTTTTACATCACTGGCAGCTCGGCAGTTTGTTATACTAGCATCACCATACATATGGAAGCAGCAATATATTACTGGAGGAAAGGAATTTTTCAACTCCAACATGACCTTATGGGACCATTGTCATGCAGGTGGGCTGCTGTTAATTTAAGCATACATGGCACAGGACTATACTCATGTGACGTC